AACGGTCACGATTTTGTTTTGTATTTGAACTTTAATTGTTTTTTTACAAATTTAAATCACTTGAAATTTTGGACTTGTGTTTTTAAAAAATAGGAGTCTAATAAAAATATCAAAAACATAATTTGTTAGAAATAAATTGCCCAAAATCTCCCAAAATTTTGTAGGGGTATTTTGATCAATTTTTTTATTGCGAATTTTTTTTAAAAATATTTTTATTAGGTGTACCTTGATGAGAAGAATAGACATCTAAAATTTCATATGATTTGGATTTATAAAAACAAATTAAAATTAAAATACGAAATAAGGTCGTGACTGTCAGATCGGTTCAAATTCACTTCTTATATATAAGGAGTGGAAACCGTGAATTATTTTCACCTCCTCGCCTTCTAAAACCCTTTGGTCTATTTTCCTCTTCCCACTACCTCAAAGCCCCATCACAGTTTTCTTCGCAAGCAGGCGCGCAGCAAACTACAGCCCGAAAGCAAGCAACAAGCAACAGCTAGCACGATCCTTTCCTCCTTTATTTCTGTGGAAAACTCCCTGTTTCTATCAAAGCCGATGTGATTTGGGGTATGGGTCCTTCCATCTCAAATTTATCTATACCTCTCCTCAAAACCCTGCAACTGCAATGAGAGTTGCAGTTGGGTCGTATTAAATTTGAAATAAAATCAGGTTGCTCTGCAACTGCAATAAAAGGTGGTCAAATTTGACTTGAAATGCGACCCGAGGTGTAATTCAGTTGAATTGGACTTTTTAGTCTCTGAAAGGTAATAGGGGGCTATGTAATTGGGAGAAAGATTCTGGACAATGTAATCGGGAAGGAGAGGGGTGGATTGGTCGATGAGGCAAAGACATACACATTGAACAAACAGCCTTCATCCTTGGACTTCATAAGGGCGAAAATACAAGCTTTTTTTGGGTAGGTCAGTGAGGATTTGGCCCCCTCCCCTTTCTCATTATTAAGTAAGAATGTCATAAAAGATAGAGAGTTTATGGTACAATTCTTTCATTACGATTCTTAGTAGCTGACTCAATGCCGCATCGGTTGACGATGGATATTGTAGAAGTATCTTTGGAACACGTTGAAGGTGTAATCAAGATAAGTTTGCCAAGGATTATAAAGATCAATATGGACCATGTGTGACATAAGCTTTATATATGCATGAGCCACGGTCTATTGAGTGAACATAAATTTGAAATATCTTATATTAAAGCATGAGTCAATTGTACTGTGATTGATCACAAGTGTGAACCACATTGGACATGTCTTTCTCGACATAGGCTTTATAGAAAGGCTGCAGTTGGTTTGTATAGAGCTGAGGCTTTGAACAATCAAAACAAAGCGGACATTCAAATACTGTCGAGAAATGTGGTTTTAATACTGGAAATCTTTGTGATAACCTTAAAGTATATTTTCATCTTTAATTATAAAATTTTAAACGTCAAAAATAGTGTAAATCAATGATATCTATGAAAACTCGAAAATCTTGAAATTGACGGTAAAAAATGATGTTGTATTTTCAAAATTTGAAATCCATTTTTTGTTTCTCATGTGCTTCAATTTGAGGATATTTGGGCATCCAAACAACATCTACTTGTGAAATTTTTGAGGTTGGTTTTAATTTGATTGTTTTGAGCCTTGGTCCTATATAAACTTTTTCCTTATAGAAAAGCGTGAGTCATGTGAGAGGCTAATCTCATAAGGTATGAGCGATTAGGCCGATCACTGTAGACTAAATCTAATTAGGCATTATTATCTTGAACGCATCAAGCAGAAAGATCTTTCCATCTTTGGCTGCATCGAGCGTAGAGATATTTCCATCTATGTGCTTCCACCTCTAAATGGTCATTTAGAGCAATGTTGTCGCATTCGCTTCAAAGTTTTTTTTGGTCTGGTGAGAGAAACGAAACAATTTGGTTCTTCACTTGATTCGGAGGAAGGCTTTCGATTTTTTTTTTAAAAAATTAATATAAATAAATTAGATATTTATATATAAAATATATAAAAATAGTAAAAAATTTAAAATAAAAAAAATTTTTTAAAAAAACTTTTATATAGATATTTCTTTGCTTCGGCTGAATCTGCCTGAAGCAAACCCAAATCTGACCGAAACAGCCCAAAGCAAATCGAACATAATCGAAACGGCAACACCAGGCTTCTCTCCTTCGGTCTAGGCCTAAAATCCGAAGGATTCAGCCTTTTCGGCTGAAGTGAAGCGAATTTGAGAATACTGATTTCGAGTGTGGGCATCATAGAATCAATTAAATGAAATCACTTATTTATCTATTTTTATATTTAAATATTGACAAAATTTTCATTGTGATAATGAAATAAAGCATAGAAAATACACAATAAAACAACAAAAAAGGAAAAACAGCTAAACCAAAAAATAAACAAGAAATATTTTATATTTAAATATTGACAAAATTTGCATTGTGATAATGAAATAAAGCACAGAAAATACACAATAAAGCAACAAAAAAGAAAAAAAAAAGGAAAAACAGCTAAACAAAAAAATAAACAAGAAAGAAAGAATAAAAGGGAGGTAATAGTGGAGGAGGAGAGGAGCGACTCTCACTCCTAGGCCTTCGCCAAGGCATCAACTTCAGTATTTTTCTCTCTATAGACATCCCGAATAGAACTTATGTACTCCTCAGGGAGAAAAATATCTCAATCCAACCCCCTTGGAGTCGTTTCTGGTTGATTGCACTACTTAATAGACATTAAGTATCCTTCAATGATAACTTTATTATACTTCGCTGTTAACTTCGGGGCTCCATTTCTTAATGCTAGTAGATGACTTTACAACCTGGTAAAGAGATTTGATAAGTCTATAAAATGGCCCTGTGTCGTCCCTAAGCAGTCCCTTGAAGCCTGTCAATCCCTCCTCCATCAAAATTAAGTTTGAATCAACCCTTCGGTGGTGGAGACTAATTACTTGATCTAAAAAATAATAGACTGAAGAATGGTTTGCTTTAGCATAGAGATATCTGTATTAAATCCTCCAAAGAATCTGCTATTTCTTTCCTTCTGAAGGTGCCAGATAGTTGTGTTGGCGTGGTGATACAAAATTAACTCCCATCAACCTATGGCATTTCTCTCAATGCCAAGACTATTTTCATTACAAGAAATATGACTTATTTGGAAGCCACAAAGTCATTGTATAGAGAGAGAAACATAGGTTTTTTTTTGGTGATGGAGTTATTTGTAAATAGAGAAAATATGAGTTTTGGAGAAAGAAGAGATAGGGGGTTTTGCACAAGCCCTAACTTTGTTGTGCCCTTTTATTGGGCCGGATTTTATTGGCATCTCTTTGCAGCGACGAAGTTGGTCAAAGGTGGCAAAGAGAATAGTCGATTGATGCAAGCTTTTCTCTATCATTGAAAGATGATTTCTACATAGCCATAAAACTTTTAATTCTTCTATTAATAGTGAATCCATTATTGCCGGTTGCTCATGGATGTTGCCCAATTTTGTGTGAAGCACGTATATTTATGTGTTTGTAGTGATTGAATTAAGATTTGTAGTATGTGATTGTATCATCGCATTTCCTACTTTACTTTCTCTTGATGTTATTATATTTTTCCCAAATTTACTGCACCATAATTTGGTTCTTGGGTATATGAATTTGTTGGAATCGAATTGTCGTGTTAGGAGGGTTGGTTTCAAGCTATTAGATTTGGGTATATGAATTTGTTGGAATCGAATTGTCGGTGATAGGGTGGTTGGTTTCAAGGTATTAGATTTGTTGGGGGAGAATCTTAGCTGTGTCATAAAATTGACAAGAGTCACTAGAGCTATTCAATGCCGCTGTAATAAAGATTTTAACCAATACCAGATGAGCAAAGACTAGTGATAATATAAAAAGCAAGTGGTCATTTGTTTCCTCATCCCTAAGCATATATTAAGAATCATACCCCTCTTGCGTAGCTGCTTGATTAAGAGAGATTGGTCTTTACCAGTGAGCCATATAAATGGTTTGACTCCATGAGGGACCTCTAAAGACCACATGCTTGAAACTGTAACAGAGCTGTCCAGGAAACTATCAACTGTCATAGAGAATTGCCTATTTGAGTTCCCAAATAAGCTTGTCTCCCACTGAATGTAGAAAGAATAACCCATAGAGCAATGACAATAGGGCCACATACTACTGCTCAAAGTGATTATCAACCCTTCTATACTTGAATTCAATTTTCCATCCTGCCTCATGAGCCTCCTTTAACAGAGAATTTTTCTTCTTACCTTTACCATAGAGATCTGGGGGGACGCTCCCAACCATTTTGAGTGCCAGAATTAATGCTCCCTCCATTTTCTGGAAGCATCCTGCTATACACGAGAAATATGTTTCGCATGGCTTCAAGGCATTTCCACATTGTCGACACCTTAGTCCTGGTCCCAATTCTTCTGGTAATAGTTCCACTTTCTTCTGTTTTGTATTTATTATGCAGTATGTCCGTTCATAATTGATGATTGCACTGTCTTAATCTCTATCACCACTTGGTAAGCAACGCCTCATTGAATAAGTCTTAAATCTCTGAATGTGCAAACCACCTTCCTTCTTTAGGAAGCACATAATGCTCCATTTAACTACGCATAATTTCCTTTTCTATGTTGCTCCACTCCACAGGAAGTGCTTCATCAAAGATTCAAGATCCTTGATTAGCAATGAAGGGGCTCTGAATAAAGAGAAACAGTAGACAAGAATATTAACCAAAGTAGCCCTAATCAAGGTCATTCTGCCCCCAAAGAGAGATACTTGCACTTCCAACCATCCAATTTATCACAGAATCTGTCTAGGTCGGGTCCAATAAGGTTTAGATAGCCTTCTGGTCCAAAGGGGCCTCGGCAGTTAGAAGCTCCATTTCTCTGATCAGTTGGCTTTGCCCTTGCGCCTTCTCATCTACATCTCTCCTTTTGCAATCGCCTCTTCCACCACTTTGATAGATCCTTCGAACTTGACCTGTATGCCCTCCAAAATCTCTCATGCCTTTACCCTAGCTTCTCCTTTTGTGACTGCAACAAAGCAAAGTGTAGTTGTGGATGGCGGTGAACAGGCATCAATTGTATCAAATTCAGTTTTAACTCCCAAATTAAACAACATTTTAACCATCGATAGACAGTACATTCCCTTCGCCATCCCATAAAATTTGAGCACAATTAGTTCATTGATATGGATCTTCATGAGCCACAATATAGGACAAGTGGTTTGACTATTGGCAAATCTTAGTCCAGTAGATGAAACTAGCACAGATCTAAATTTCATTTGATTGGGCTTCTTATTGGTGTCCAACCCGCATGAAATTTTAAATCTTGGTTTCGAAACATTTATTACCAAACAAAGAAGTTTCATTCAAAATAAGATTATCGAAATCTGCTGCGTACAGCAGCTTTTCAGAAAGTGGTTATGATGCAGCTTTCATGAATCATTAAACAACATCCAAATCATATGAAATTCGGAGAGCATCTCATTGAGACTGTAGGGTTCTTGGAAACTCCTAGCTTGTGGAATCGGGAATCCCAAATGCTGACATTCCACCCAAGATCGTGTACAGGATTGGCTAAATGTGAAGTAGATAAATACAATTATAAATCGAGTGCAAGAAATAAAACAAATATAGAAATCACACCACAACAACACACGATTTACATGGTTCACCTGGTAGGGCTACATCTACGGCCTCAACAAGTAGAAATCCACTATTTCCATGAAGATTACAGTTTTGGATTACAAGAGATATACCTCTCTCTAAATATCGGTAGAAAGCCATCACCGATCTTCCATTCTAAACTTGCTCTCCCGATCGAGAAACACCATCGATCAATATTTTCTTTCCCACCGCAATACCGCTATCGGAAAAATAACCTCGAGAGCAACCAAGAGATTTTCTCTCTCTAGAAGTGGAAGCCTTATCAACTCAAAACTCATGGGAATATTGTCTCTCTCTCGGAGGCCATGTCTCTTTCTCTTGAAGACCAATCACCATCTTTGAGATCCATTCTCATAATCCCTAAAAGGGTAAACCTCAAAAGGATAGGATATTATGTCTTCATTGAGTCTCTAGATATCACTTTCTTACTTCTTAAGAAAGTCTATTTTCATTTTACCATAACTTTTAATTTTTAGAACAAAATATGAGTATGGTGATTTGGGTATTACCAAAACCCTTAAAGGGTAAACCTCAAAAGGATAGGATATTATGTTTTCATTGAGTATCTAAATATCACTTTCTTACTTCCTAAAAAAGTCTATTTTTATTTTACCATGATACCTTTAATGTTTAGAAGAAAATATGAGTATGGTGATTTGGCTATTACCAAACCCAAGAGGGATTCTTCCATATGCTGGTTATCATTAAGACTTCATTTTGGCCAATTCAAAATGTCACAGTT